GTGGAAGGTGAAGACCTGCATGGGATTTCCAGGGCTGAATTGTTGGTATTCCTTATGGTAATGGAGAATTAGCACTGGGCCCTTGAGTCAGTGTTAAATAAAAAATGGGGCAGATAAATCTATTTCTGGATTCTTAATACATTGTAAGAGGAAAAGTTGTTCATTAAGCAAATCCTGGATGAATCTGGATGTTAACTCTGGAGGTAAGAAATTTATCTTCTGAGAATGACAGCATAGAAACAGTGTGAGAAAAATAGTTCTTGGGAGAAACTAAAGCAGAAATCAAGTACATAATGCTGTATCAAGGACAATTATGTACAGATTATGTACAAATTCAGATTATCAGCCTTTCCTCTATTCCTAACACACAGCTTGAGGTCTTCCTTGTTTTTCTTTTGGAGTAGAGTTTTGTGACGACAAGGTCCAGCTGCAGTTGGGGATTTTTTGTGTATAATTTAGCACTTACCAGAGCCATGAGTTTTCTTCTGGGTTTTTTTGTGTTTAATCTCTACTTCCTCCAGAATGTAGGGACACTATTCCTTTACATTTCCATTCCCATCAGCAGATGCTGTAGCCAGTCTAGAAGGCTGCCAGCTCTTGTGCAGCTCCTCCCGTGAGGATAAAGGTGAGTATCCTTCCTTTACAGAAGCACTTTACCAAGAATGCTCAGGTAACCAGAGTGCTGTTGGCACGTAGTCCATGGCTGTCATTTGTAGCATCTAAAATGAAATTTAATCCCATCGTGTTTCTCAGCTCTTACTGGTGCATGTTTTGTGTGACTCGGACACCTGGATTTCTTTCAGTTTCGTGTTTTTGAAGAACAAGTGAAGGACGGGGCCCAAAGAAGTAAAAAAAAAACTGAATTCATTTAATCAGCTAAAAAGACAAACATTTATTATTGTTGAGGAGGGAAAAGGAAGATACCTAGATCATTATAGGGGTTTTTAATCTTCCCTTGTAAAATTACTAATGGTGTGAATTCTTTAGACATCGGTTGTATCAAGTGTTTGCAGGCTTCATTTATTATCTACTAACCAAAATTAGCATTGTAGAACCAAAGCAATACCAAGCTTTTCTCCTACATTTCTGTTGAGAACACTGTATTTATTCAAGGTTTTAGAAGCAAGTCTCTGGAAACCCCTGATTGCTTCAGAAAAGGATTCCCCTTTACACTATACAGCAGGCACTGAAACCATGATACAAAATTTATTTTCATGCTAGAATTGTTTTGCATAACATTGTGCATGCATTTTACTCAGTACTAAATTGCATACAATGCTGTTGTCTTGTTTCTTAAACTTTGAGACCATTTATACTTGAGTATTTTCCTGATTTTGTACTATAAGTCCCAGTTTTAAAATAACACCTCTTTTGTTTAAAATTCATACTGATTACTTAATATGAACAATTTATGAAGGGTCTTTACGTTGGATCTATACATCAATAAAATACAACATAACCAGAGCTGGAAAATTAGCCAGCTGTTACTGTCAGGTCCGAAGGAAGGTCCCATGTGTCACAAGCATGCCAACAAAAACAGACAGGAAAAAGTTTTTCTTATTTTTATACACTTCTAGTTGGAGTAAAAGTTCTTGTTTCCATGTTGGTGTGATGAACTGTGAAGGCGTGGTCAATATGACCGATGACTGCCTGATTGCACTTTTTAAAACCATTACTCTGTATCTTGTATACAAAAAGAAGCGATCCATAGCAAAGAAATGTACAGTTTTATCATGTTTTACATTTTGGCTACAACAATGTATGTAAAAGTAAAGAGCTTTGAAAGAAAATATATAACTTTGCCTTTTTTTTTCTTTTTTTTTTTTTCCCTTAGTCATACATTTGCAGTGTTTCTTGTGTGTGTGTTGTTTTGTTGTTTTGTTGTTGTTGTTGTTGTTTTTTTTTTTTTTCATTTTCATTTTTGTCTTCATGCAAGTCATGCTATGGAAAAAAAAATAGATTAAAAAAAAAAATCTTCTACAGTTTTGTTACATTTTGGCCGTAGAAAAAGCCTGCATCTCTAGTACAACTCCAGAACCACGAAGAATCATCCATAAAACCTGCATGGAGCGAGTTAACTGTGTCCAAATGAGAAGGTCTTCAATGCCTGCACAGTTCCACAGAGATGTTTATTAGCCATCAATGTTCATCTCCATCTTGCCTTGTCAGGTCACTCTGACTGCCTCTGTTGGCATATATTTAGCAATGACTGGACTTTCTTTGCAAAGATCTGCATGTAAAGAATACAATCAGTACTTGAGCTTCTTCCCTGCGCTTTTCACATCAAGCTCGGCATCTTAGTGTTAAAGGAAGGAGGAAAAGGTGAAATAGCTACATGCAGAGGCAGCCATATTCTTCTTCAACAGGTTTTTTTTTTTTTTTTTTTCCCATGCAGTCAGCCAGACTGAGACCTCTCTACAGTGTGTCTGAGTATTGCTTTCAGCTTAAAATAGGTGCCCATGCAAAGTTTCATCCTACTGTGCTTGTTTGCTCAAACTCCTGCAGGGTTCCTATGGCTCAAAAATATCCTGAGAAAAGCAAAATCTTCCATCGTTGGCACGTTTCAGCATCGACTAAACGCCTAACCCATTCCAAACAGAGCCAGTCCATCCACCATTAGCCACAGAAAGCATATGCTAGCAGGATGCACCAGGAGGGAAACCAGGGTGCATCTACCCTTCATCCTCTATCTGCCACCATGCAGCACGGATGGCCCCAGAACCAGAGCAATGCCTGCCTGTTGTCATCTGAGTGCTCTTTGGCAGTGGTGTCACCTAAGCAACGGGTGCCACTGCCAGACATTGCATCTTCACCTTAGTCACCTGGGCTATATGCAACATGGCATAGGCTAATTAGAGTAAAGCTTTTTAGACCATTCTCTGCTACTGATCCATGCTACAAAATAGATGGGATGGGAGACCAAGAACGTCTCACTGGGCTAGGAGAGCTGTAGGGCGCAGACACTGAGGATAATCCTATCGCTTTTCCACTTATGCCAGCTATGCTGTTAAGGCTCCGTGACATTTCGTAACCTTCATTTAAAAGAAAAATGCAGAGTACAGCATTGGATCAATGACAGAATGGACTAAGAATGAGGTCAACATTGTAGCCAGTTCAATAGCATCTGCATGCACGGACATGCCGAGAGTAGTATCGCTTGCAACATGACTCGGAAGGCCGTTGAAATACAGAAAAAGTTTAAAATATATACATTTTCTTTAAAAAATCATCATTTCTCAAGGTGGTCAGGCTATGTAATTGATCCTACAGGCAGCAACATGGTTGTACCCTAAAAAAGAGAAGAGTCAGTGGGAGGGATTTTCTATGTCTCCGTCATACACTCACACATACCTCTCCCTTCCACTTCATGCATCGTGACCACAGGCAAAATTAAGGTTTGTGGTATCTTTGTGGGGCAGGAGGAGGGACAAGGCAGCAAAATCCGTAGAATTAAATGTGTTGCTATAGAGATACTACTCCTTTGTTCTCAGCATTAAAAAAAAAAAAAAAAAAAGAAAGAAAAAGAAAAAAAGAAAAAGAAAGAAAACAAAATTGCATGCGTTCATTTTCCCTCCCTCCCTCCCCCCTTTCTTTTTCAGGCATGCACATAAACAGCTCAGCAAGTGTACAGAGAGTTGCACAAACTATGGATGAAATTCTGTTGGAACAACAATTAAGATGCTCTCAACATGTTTCAAACAGGCCAACAATATGCTGACATATATTACTCTTTAGCCAACCAGCCTCTGTTTCATTCAGGAACGAGAGGAGGTTGCAGTGCATCGTGAAAACCAAACATTCCCCATCCCAAAGGATGTGCCATTTGGAGAGTTCCCCTGATCCACTGGAACCACCTGAACTCGCCCAGGCTGAATGAACACGGCCAATGCTTATCCAATACAGAATCAAGTAAAGTGCTTTGCTACAAAGGTAAATTTCAGAGGATATACTTTCATATGAAAGTCTTGTGGTCCTACTATATCTCTGTTGATGATAAGATTTAGACTTATAAATACATACACTATCTATAACTGGCATTTACTGAAACTATTGCCCATCATACAATGGCACATGGGAATTCTATAGTCCATACTCAGTGTATGGTTATGTCATACAATCTTTGCAGGTTTAAAATATTGACTCTATCTTATACTATATACAGTGCACCAGTGGTGTATACACCACTGATTTGAAGAGAGTGAGTTCTTTTCCAATTTTCCCATTCCTTATCAGCTTTGATGCATATAGATGTAGCCCTAATTTTGGGTTGGTATGGTTGCCTCACATTAAATTATTTAAGCAAAACGGTCTCTGTTAAGAAGGGAAGGCTTTTTAATGTCATTTTACTTCTGTTGTTAAATAGATTATTCTGACCATTAGCAAACTGAAATGCAGTTACTTCTGAGAGATTCATACCTGTCAGAAGTCTGAGAAACTAACTAATAATGATTTATTTATGAAAGGATTTTAGATGGATTATTTTCTAATTTTAAGATACCTGTGCCAACAGATGTTCGTGCTTTTCTTTCTCTATTGAGCTAACCAGCTATGAATATCCAAACATTTTGTTTTAGTGCTCTGTTAAGGGCACTAAATAATCAATATATTTTGCTTTTGTGTTTTATCTCTTCCGTCTGCCACCTCCAAGTCTGTGCTCCTCAGAGTCTGGTAAGCTCTGTGAGCTTTCCAAGTGGCAAACCTTCATTGCTATGATACATTAATTGGTCTCTCCTTAGAGGATGGGCTTATCTAAGGACATCCTCCACTAAAGCTTCCTGCACCAGCTGGGGTGGAAGACTCGGCTGCCTAGCATAGCTGCACAGGGTAGTTACAGCTCCTCAGGCTTTTCTTTCTGAAAGAAACGGGTTAGGAACTCCAAATGCAGACATCAGTGGTGGTTTCCAGCCCAAACGTGCATCTCTACAGCAAGCGCACTCTCGAGCTAAGCTGACTTTCTGTGTATTTAAACCACTGCCAGGTGCAGGGCCCCAGCTACATACCCTTTCTTATTCCTCCATCAGGCGGGCAGGGATATTCCCCGGTTGATAAGAGGAAGCAGGGTCCATATCTGTCGCGAGTGCCCGAGCGGGTAAAGGGCAGGCCCTCATCAGGCGTAATCGCCTGGTCTATGTGGGGACAGTCTTCGTTTGCCAGCGCCGCCTTGGCCACCTCACCATTCAGTTTCGAATCTTCAAACATATAAGCAGAAGGCTATTGAAACACTATGCACTGTTTATTCGTTAGAGTTGCAGCTGCAAATTAAGGGTTCACAGCTAAAGACTTCTGTAGCGACACTAAAAGGCAGCACATCTGTCCTAGACACTGCGTTCGTGTGCACTGCACCAAAATAAAATAGAGGCTGTTAAGTGGGAGGAGAAACAAAAGGTGATCCCGCCAGGTGTGCCCTGCAGACAGGGCGTGCTCTGGTTCCTGTCCTGCGGGTAGAAATCAGAGATGTTTGGCATGGCATCGATGGTGCATGGATGAGCCATGGAGCTGCTCCACCCAGAGCTCTGCAGTCCACTGACAGCTGTGCTTTAGGGTTTGAGCATATTCTGGCTGTGCTGCTTCACAGCCGTGTGCAGTATTACTGAGGGGAAAGTCCTGCTCTTCCCCTCCCCAAAATTCACCCCGATGGTTTTATAGCATTTCTGGTCTCGCTCATGCAGAATGGCTGCACACGTTTTAGACACACAGAGTGCGTTAGGGATGGAAATATGACAGCAGAACGTGGATTTAAAGAAAACCCAATCCATTTTCTGATGTTCTCCTCTGAAACACATACAGTATTTGCAATGCCAGCACAGGACACTACATACACAAAACACTACAGCAGGCCATGAATTTGGAAACTAGGTAGAGTAAAATTTACTCTCAGCTGTAAATAATGAAAATAGCTTGTCAGATTTGCCCATTTTACTCCACACATTCCCATGAGGATAGACTGAGACTCTGTGTGACTGGTTTCTACATTTATAAAACAATTTAAAGTGCTATTTAGTGTAGGAATTTTTTTTAGGGTTTTAAAGTGCAAATTAGTGTATTGAGAATATACTCGAAATATGGCACAGCTCGATATGAGTATTTTGGTAGAAGGGAAGGAACAGTCAGAAGGTGCTTTCTGAAGCTCCACAAATGCTGAGATATTTAACTGAGTGTACTGGCAGCATCCTACACCTCGGTTGCACAATGCTTATTACCTAGACCCCGTAAGGCAATGGGTGATCCTGCAAGTCTTTAAGGAAAGAAACTCAGTGGATAGACTCAATTTCACTTCCCCATCTGCATTCATGTACTAGCTTGTTCTAAATGCTCTATAATATTGTCATTTATTTCGCAATTATTTTGAAGCCAACTAATAAAACAAGCCCCAAAGGAAAAAAATACAGTTAGGTGGGGTTTAGAGGTATGATTTGGATCCTCTGATGGACAAAAGACGAGTAGAAGGCAGAAGGGTTTTCAAGTTATGTTTGTTACTTTGCATACACACACACACACAGAGATGTACATGACACACACTATGCACCTATCATTGCATTCTAGACCTTTCTTTTCTTCTGTTTAGATGTCACTGGTTTGTAACAATGGGAACAGTCTTTGCTGCACATCTCACCTCTGCCTCCATTTTTCTCTGTGCAGAATCAGCCAATTATTCCCCCGAGAGGGATGTGGTAATGCTTTGTTTTGTTCTGTGAACAATGAAATAATTAAGTCTCTCGACACATTTAAAAATGTGGCAGAAGCTATAGGGGCATTTTAATTCTCGTGGACACTAATTTCAATAGGATTCTACAGTTTTAAGGTTTCTCCGAGTTGCAATTCCTTTCTGTTCATAATCATCGCTGCTGTTTAATTCCACTCTGAACAAAACCCTGGCACGGCTGCCATAGAAACCGTGACACTGCAGGTACTGAGCCGTGTGTTTAAAAATCACTTCACTGTGTTTGGGGAGAGCTGCAGTCCTCCTGGGGAGGAGCAGAGAACTGGGCTGCTTCATAAAGCTCTACTGCTACAAGGTGGTGGCTCAATGCTGAAACGAGGGAGGCAGCAGAGCTCTGCCCTGAGATCTCTGAGACACCCACTGCCGCTGAGCCCAGGCTGGCAAATGGAACTGCTGGTGATGGAGGGCGAATTGGTCCCTTTGAGGAGCTCAAAACACCTCTGAGCGCGGTGCTTGTGGGCCGGGCTGCTCACTGGGAACAGCCTTTGATTCCTTTGGAAGCAGCTTGCAGGCTCTGTTGAGCTTGAATGGCAACAAAATTGACCTTCTTCAAATTAATTTCTTACATTGCATTATAAATCTTTAGTAGCTTGAGCTGGAACTTGCTCTTACAGCCCCTTCAGAGTCCCTTAGCACTGATGATTTTTCCTCTATGCTTGTTAAAAATCCACAACCTTGTTATTTTATTTCCATTCAAGAGGAAGAGAACAGAGGAGCTGGGGCAAATTACTGAACTATCCTATTAATGTCCCTTGAACATTGCAGTCATGGGCCATGCCTTAGGGATCACATTGTGGATAGCCATGCTAATCCACACTGACAATTTGGGTGAATATTTAGGAAGCAGAGAAATTGCCAGCACAGAACACTGCATCTATTGCTGGTGTATATGAGTAATAATAAATATTCTGAGCAGAATAGTTGTGTTCCAAATCACTGGCTACAGCACCTAATTCCCTGGAGGTGTGTGCTTAGTGTGCTATGGCAGTAAAGAAAATATAAACATCACTGATGCCATCAGTCCACAGAAGTTCCCATTGTTTTAACTAGCAGATTGACATGCTGAACAATTTTAGGAATAAGGTCTAAAGATGGAAAGGACTTACATTATTTCAGGTTGATTTAGAAAGTTTCCATTTGCATGTTTGCTTTTACCAAGACTGACCTTGTGTTTGAAAGAACTCCAGATAAAGAAAAACAATGCAAGCGTGGCTGTCTGGTGGCTCTGAGTCTCATTATACTAATGACAACAATTTCTAGGTGATAAAAACTTCTAAGGGTTGATTCTGGCCTATCAAATTCACATGAGTCCTTCCATCCCTGCCAGCAGAATCTGAATTAGGCTCGTACAGCATTTTTTGTTCTTTAGGTTCTGTTCTGTGAAGTCAATATTATCATCCCTGTTTTACAGACGGGTGAAACTCCCATGCAGTGAGGTGACTTGCCTACTGCTATGTGAGAGGTTATTTACAACAAAATCCTCTGACTCTCAGCTTGGCACCTTCTCTCCCTAATTGTCCTATCTGTGAATTCCTAGCTAACTGCAGCAGCTCAAAACATTCTCCTGCAGAGATCTGGCTGAGAGGCTAAAGAAAGTATTCAGCATATTTCCCCGGTGAATAGTCTGTTTCACAACTACCTCATTTGTGTGCTTTCCACTTGCCTTTTTTTCTTTTTTTTCTTCCTATCTCATCTCTCTTCATTTGTAGAAAAGTATATTAAAGTGCCTTGTGCGTTTCCAAGCAAATGCTGGATTTCAAAATGGGGGGAAGGGATTCTAAAAAATATCCCAGCTTAGGAGAACTGCTGGATTTTGCATTAGTGTACTCTGCTGATTGTGGAGAAGCACAGTAGAGCTGCCCGTGTACCTGCTGCTCCATTACTCATCTCTTTTGCCACAGCAAATGCTTGCAAATTGTTGCCGTGCTGGTTAGCAGTGCTGCTGGCTTTGGTTACAAGCAGGGGTGTGACTCTCCAGCCATTTGAACTGCATCTTATGTTCAGTGGACATAACTGTAGGCTACGTTTATTGACCTCAATCTGTGCTCAGAAATGTGGCACCTGCACTGAGATTGTTCCTGCACGGGAAAGTCACCCCAGTCTCCTTCCCTGGAGCAAACTCTGCCGTTCTCCAAGAGCTGCCAAGGAACAATTTCCTGGCCCCTTCTTACTGCAAGTGCTGTCAGAAGTCACGGTGGCAATTGTCCCTGCTTCCCTCAGGACTGCAGCTGTGCCCCCCAGCCTGCACCTCTGTTCCCACGTGCCTGCACACCTGTGCACACCTGTGCACACCTGTGCAGTGCCACCGACTCCAAAGACTGCAGGAGTTGAAAGCTGCTCTCAGAGGGGAGATTTTCAGAGTTCACAGGATCACTGACTGAAACAAGGCTGAGAGAAAGCTGCAATTCACAGCCTGGAATCCAGGCACAGTCACCCAGGAGTCAAGGTCTCAATGATGGACTGTGACAGATTCCTCCAGATGGGGTTTTCTCAGCCCTAGATCAGAAACAGCAATTAAGGGACATAGTTTTGTTTTTGTGCTCAAATGAGGTCACTGACAATCTCCCCCAGATAAAACAGAACTGTCTTGCTCCTTGGTTAAAGATTGAAAGAGATAAGGACAGAGCTCGAGTACCAACAACTTTCCAAAACAGACACTGGTGACTTCAGAGCTTTTCAGCCTGTTAAAGGGAAGGGTTTGACAGGCAGGAAGAGGCAGCAGCAGCTGAGAACAGGGCCAGGAAAGTTGTTTGAAAGATGATCTTGCTGCTGGGGAAATCTTCTCTGAGTAAAGTTACATTTCACACCCCACCTCACGTAAAAAAAAATTAACCTTCCACTTCTCTAGATCTCACCTGTGCTCTTATTGTCCTGATCCAAACCTGGCTCATTATTAGTGCCTGTGGATAGTCCCACTCCTCATCAGTTGAGTGTCCTTTGGCTCTTTCTCAGAATATGAGGGCTATTTTCATTTTAAATGTGTCACTAATACCGTAGCTGCCTGAAGGGTTTCATGAGGAAGGATCTCCATGAGGTTCCCTGTAACAGCAGAGACCTTTATCCAGCTGGCTCCCTGCAGAAAGTATTGGGATGTGTTCCATGAGTTAATGCCTGTGTTCAGCCCTGTCACACCCTCCTGGCGGTGTAAAAGCTCTGGTACTGAGGCAAACATCAGCTGTGTCACACTCTGCTGGCAACGGGAAACTCTTCTTGGGATCAGGGCTTTTCCTGGCTCTTGGGCTCGTGACAGAAAGCTGCAGGAACACGGCTGAGGTGAGGGTGGAGAATTGCTGTGCTCCAGCTTTTCTTAGCTACAAGCCTATTATCTGCAAGTGGGAAGCAGAACAGCCGTGAGGCTGCTGGAGGACAGATTTTCACAGCTGCCTTTTTCTTAAAAAAAAACCAAAAAAACAAAAAGCAAGGATTTTTCATTCCTTTTTGCATCCTGGTTTTGCAGCACCACTTTTG